GATCTAATGAATATCACGTGTGAAACACAAAAGCTGAGTTTCGTATGAAAATGTTTTGCGAAATCCATGCTGTGCTGTATTAAAAAAAGAATTGGACTCTTAAAAGTTTCCAAGATGCGATTAAATGACAGGTTCAATAATTTTACATGGAATGTTGGTGAGTGTTATGGGTCGGAAGTTATTTGGACAATGCTGGGGGGGGGGGGGGGGGAGTCGCCTGATTTATGCAAAGGAATCACCTTCCCGACCCTCCAATCCTCAGGCGCACAGCCTGTATGAAGAGTTTGCTCAAACAGTTTAGTCAGGATTATTGAGCTATACATCCTAGTATTAATTGCAAATTTAGAATTTATGTTATCACTGCCAGAGGATGACGATATCCTAAAATTTTTTTATTATACTTGCAAAACCAACGGTGTCTATAAAAATTGGGTTCATCCTTGAAACCTCAAAAGATGAATAGCCAGGATAGCTAGTAACTGTATTAGTAGAAAACGCCAAAGCAAACACAGTGTTAAGTATACTAGCACATTCATCGCTGGGAATTGCTGTGCCGCCAGAATCTCGGAGTGCTATAACGTAATCATAATTTTTGTTAACATTCCAAAATTGTTTCGGGTCATTTGTAAGCATGGAAGGTAATGTTTCATTGAAAAATGAATCTTTTGCTTTTAGTGCAATGTTGTCATCATTAGCTGCAGAGAAGTATATATCCCAACGGGACTGGGAATTGGATGACTTAGCGGAACGAAACATGCTTTTTTTTCATATTCGACAGCCTTTTCAATGACTGGTTAAACTAAGGTGACTTTCGCTTTAATATGAGCATTCTCAGTGGTATGAAGGTATCTGTTAGAAAATGACTTTATCTTTAAATAAATTCCAGTTAATATGCAAAGACCTGTCGTTGAATCCTTGTAAAAACTCGTCCAAAAAAGAGCATAACTTAGTGTTAATTGCATCAAAGCCTCCTTATAATCTCTTATGTATTTATTGTGGCTATCATTGCGATGAACGGGATTTTAATGTAAAATGAAGCAAAGCATGATCAGTTAAACCAGGCAAGTAAGATATGGGATCGACAAGTTCAGGTGAAATGGTCAACACAAGATCTATAACACTCGATATTGCATTGTAATTCGGGTTAGTTGAGTTACAACTTGCGAGAGATTGAAATCAGCACAGATTTGCAAGAAATTAATATATTCACTAGAATATGGACTGGGATAAGAAGATGCATTTGGTCATATAATAGTTGGGTAGTTCGTCCCCTAGTAACATGAATGACACATTTGGAAATCGTTCAAAAATGATGTTAATTCCATCTTGCAAATTTTCAAAAAAAGTAGCCCTTAACGACAGTGGTCGATAACAAACATTTAAGACAAACCTTTCGTAACATACGCGGAGATCTTTACCACACTAGTTCTTAATTGCTTACGATTTCTAGAAAAAACAGACAAAGGTAACGATAATTATTTTGATATATTTTGCCTTGCTGTATATAAAGCAATTTGTTGGTAAATACTTTTTGATTATGTCTCTGAAACCTATTTATTTCACAGGTTTCGTAATTTTTGTTTGCTTTTGCATATAAATATTTTATTGTAGTTTTAATATCATGTGTACATGTGTTAAACCCTTCACAAAATAAGTACAAAAAGTATTACTACGTTTACGCTTCCTTGTAAAATTTACGGCTGTGCAAAATACCATAGGAAAACCTTGGCGACATCCAGGCCTTCAGTTTCCAAATCTTTTACCTCTGAAAAAAATTCGCATATAGCTTTATGTTAAAGCCATGTTCTTGGGAGGACCTCCCAAGAACATGGTTTTTACGCATGCTTTTTACACATATATAAAAAAGTATGATTCGGACCATCATTGCACGATCTGGCATGGAAATACCCCAGTAAATCGTCATGTACTGAATAAACAGTATTAAAACAGAAGGAATGCACTAATCAAATTCGAGCAAGAGAAGCTGGTTTTTGGCGTATTTATTGATTCTTGAAAGTATATTACTTTATTAATCACAACAATTTACTTTAAAAATTCGAACTTTATCATGAACTTTACCTTTAATGCTTTTAAAATGTTATCTTTGAGTTGTCCTCAATTTGTTTTCACTGCTAAATATTCTTCGGAAATAAATACCATTTGCTCAGTTGTTACAAATGGGCAATTCTTGGGGTATTCCTTTTTAACATATCCTAAGTTACATTTCTCGCATAAATTCCTTAGTGTATTGTTTCCTGCTCACAATAGCCATAACCTTCATAATATTCCCATGCTACATTATCTAATGTTTGCACTTGAAAAAGAAAGTATGATCATAAAATATTGATACCGACAAAACAAAACGCTAATTTTCCTAGCAATAACAAATCTGTTTCTACTACCAGGAATACACAATATCACTCTACCTCAATAAAATATAAATAAATATCTCTGAAACGTTTCGGGTTATATTTTTGAACGTATGTAATTGGACAGCCAGATTACCTACTTACCGGGAAAATTGTCAAGTGGCGTAGGACTGGCATGTCGTAACAATTTCACCCTACCAGTTGAACTGAAACTGTCATGTTGTAAAATTAAGTTTTTCAATTCTGATTTAAATTAGTGTTACCTTGGCATAGTAATACTGCGTTTAGTAATATAGAAATATTCGTATTTTTATTGCAAAGTAGAAACAGAAAATGGTTATAAGAAATAAAACTAGAAAATGGAAGTACCGTATAAATTTTATACTGAGCGTTCTTGGTGTGTAAAGTACTTAATACATTTAGCATGTTAGATTATACTATACCCGTTTCTCTTCAAGAATAAAGGATGTTTTGCTTGTTGTTTGTACGCCGCGCGAAATAATTCTTACAAGATTTGGTTGTCGGAGGCAGAACCGATGCTTTTTTTGCGTTTGAAATGTATATTTCTTGAAAAAATAACATATATCTAATCCAAACTGCACCTATAATCTACATATATCTTAAGTTCTTACATAAAGGGGAAATTAGTTTGAGAGGACTACGAGTATATGTAATTGGTAAGTCTAAAGCAAGAAAAAAATGTAGACATTTTTATTGAAATTGGATAAATTTGAATCCAACGGAAGTCTGTTCATCACAACATATTGTGTAATGGACGACTATTTGTTGTAAGACAAACTGTATTGCTTACTATGGCCCTATTTACTTCCTTTCTTGTCTTTTTTATAGATATTTTACATGTTTAAGTAAGATGACCCAACTAGTCCAGCAACGTACCTTACTAGAGTATACGGTTTCCAAATTCCTCAATACTCTTCGCAAACTGCTGAACTATCTTATCGATGAAGATGTTTATAATTATATGGACTGAATCTTCACTAAACATTTGGGCGTATTTTATTGTCAGAAGTTATATCATGATGTGTTTTATATGATTGCCTTCGTTTTACGCCTCCCCCCCCCCCCCCCCCGATATGCGCAAGATGCTATATATATTGTAGGGTTGTTTTAGAATCTGCTATCAGTACAACGTGAGGAGCCTATAAACGCGTTTCTTTTTTTTTAATGCCGGGATTGACATTGTGTGGAACTAAGAGCTAGTGGAAGCTCCACTGCAGACTTGTCTCCACTCCCTCTTCTTTTTTTCTGAAATTATATTGTTATACTGCATCAAATCTAATGTAGGATATCGTTACAACGGGCACAATGCAACTTTAAAGTCAATTATAGTAAACATTTTTTTCCATACAACATTTTCGAATATTCTAACATTATTTCCCTATATAATTAATCATTAATCATTGCAATACTAATTTAATTAATTACTTCCAAAAACAGCAAAAGCTTATTATTTTTCCATTTAGTGCAAAACTTTACATTTTATGTTTATGTTTTTTTATGTTTGTCTGTTTTTGGTTTCATTTTTATGTTCCCAAAACTGATTTGCCAAGGCCTTAAAAGGCGGAGAAATCAGTACATACGTGAATAGGGAAGGAGCTTCTGTTAAATCCCAAACTTGTTTGTTTCCTTTCTAGTGTTTCTCTTTCCTTCGACTTTCTCATTAAGTTAAAGCAAGAACTAGGTAATAATTTCACAGTCGTCTTTTAACTTTTAGCTCAGCTTTTTTGTTTATTTGCTTGCTTCTTAAACAAGCCTCGCTAGAACAGTCATTCTTTCCGAACTCTCCCAAAGCTGATTGGAAAAACGTTCCTTTGGTTGTTTGCGCCACGAATAAACAAGGTCGGCTTGCGCCTCAAGCTATTCCACTCCGACCACGCACGAAGGAGTTTATTTTTTTTTTTTAGAAAACATTCCTTAAATAGCGTTTCACTAGGATTGCCAACTCAGAGCTTGTTAAACCTATACGCACAAGTTGGGAACTGCGCGGTAGAATGTGAAATGTAAATCACGTTTAACTAAGCTCTGAGCGTTGATATTTAGCGTTCCTTTCTTTTATATAACTTGCCCTCATGCCTTCCTACACTCTTCACACAAATCAACACTGTATATTTTAAACTATGCCAGTGCCAACACCTTTCCTTCGAGCAGCCGCAGAACCAATCAGCGCTGCCTACAGAGCAAAATATAATATGGGGTATAAAGGTTTTGCTGCTTTTTTTTTGTCTGCGTGATTATATTCGGTTGCCAATACTTGACTTTGAACACAGATTCTGGACTCAAGTTAACGAGGTCGCCCAAAATATGTACCTTTTGCCCCTCCGACGTAAGATACTTAATGCACCTATGGAAAGTTCTCTAGAAAAGAACCCCAAAGGAAATATCTTGCCTTTTCACAAAAAAATGGTTTGTTGTACTAGTGGTTTTTTAGACAATTTCTCTCCGGTTACTACGATAGTTTCTTTAAACTCAAGGATCAGTGACTAGGCTATCATATGCTGCCTCTGAATACGATTCTACTAGGCAGGTCGTTGTAATTGCCCATTTCTATATACGAGTTCGAGATTTTTTTTTTCCTTAACTAAGCCATATTGTTCCGTCATTTTATTTCAGGTTCCGTCGGGTGTTTCCACCACTGATTCTGCCGATGTCGACGAATGACAGCCTTCCACAAACTTCGACACCATGGTTCAAGTCCAAGTCATGTCCATCAATGCGCTGGTGAAGAAAGTGTCACTGCCTCATGGAGACACCGTTTGTTGCGTAGCCTGTAAATAAAGATGCGATTAAATTTTACAATGCCCAATAAAACACGAGAATATATAAGCAGCATTACTCTGTTATCACCAGAACTTTAGCGCCCCTTCACCTCCGTGCCCTCCCACAGGGAGACGTTATCTCGCTTGATAGGTAGTGGCAACAACGGTGTGGCAAATATGGTTACCAACAACTTAGGAAACGAAGAGCGCCGCAAGTCCTGAGGACCTCACTATTTCTCCCCAGCCCATGAGGTTGCGGCATTAGCCCAGAATACCACCAAAGAACGAATCAGAAAGCAAGAAGCGTGTTCATAATAGGCCCCACCCTTCGTTTTTTAAGGTCTCAGTGACTGTGGAGGCGATGACCAGGCGCTTATTCAGCAGCTAGTTCAAGGCTTCTCTGGAGTAACTGTAAAGTTTGTAAACAAACAAGGAGCACTGTCACATATAGCTACTTACACACTGAAAGGACAAATGTAAAATAATAAATATAACAAAAAAAAGAACTATCCAAAATTGAATTCTGGTTTGCAAAATTTGCGGCAGTACTTTGTTCGTAACCGACGAATTCGTCATATTTATAGCGCGTTCTTGAGTCGGTAAATCTCGATGCCATTTTTCGCGTACGAAGAATCGTATCGCAAATTCTGACGGAAACGTTGTTGGTTATTGTTATTGTCATTCAATCATTTATATGAGTTAAGAGCAGTGAGCAGCCACCCTGGAGTGAGCTCAACAGCGTCTCAATCTTGCGGCTCACGTTTTCACCAAATCATCCTCGCTAGAAAGCTATTATACAAAAATATTGCTGGTAGTACTTTCCTCTTGCCTAAAAAAAGAAAAAGCAACCATAAGCAGAAGACATTTTTGGGTCGTAAATCCCGGTTCAATTATTTGAACTCATGCCACGGCTTCACTCCGACTGTAGTATAGAGTTTTTCTTTTCTCTTTCGCATCCTTTTTTAGCGTCTTACATTTTTATCAAAGTATATATACTCTCACCAGAAACAAAGCTACGTTAGAGTCTAGCTTGCATTTTTTTTTTACTTGTATCTGGAGTACCACCTGAAGGGTGAGGCACAAGAAATGAATTTCGAAACCGATGTGATTGTACAACTTGTTAAGTAACGTCAGCGGTAATCTAGCAATCGGCGATGGCTTAAGAACTACTGAGAACGGGAAATAATGCAGTATTGTTTGGCTGACAATTGTTTAATGATTGATTATTATCGGTACACACTGCGATCTAATAGATTCTATATTGATAATGAAGATGTTCGATGATCGCCACCCCCCGTCGTCTTAAAGCTGTCAGGGGCTATAACTCAACATAATCGCCGCAAGCGAAAACCCGTTTGAACAGATTGTTGGGGCAGCAGCCAGACGGTGACAAATCTGTTAGAACTGTCCCACTCGAAATCTACCAAAGCCAAACACAAAGCGGGTCTATCGTACGGCTGCGCATAATGAACACGTAGACGCCTCTACCAGGTGACATGACGATGTCTGTCAGGTCGGTCGGACAAAATTCTCCGACTAAGAGAAACCAGAACTGGGTTAAAGAAAGAAAATCGTCGCCTGTCTTTCTCCTCCTTTTCAGCACGGGGGGTGAGGTGAACTCGATGAACGGGTCACGTGGATTAACGGCACTTCTTTCCCCGCCCTTCCAGAACACCCCTCCCCCTTCCCTTCCCCGGCGTTCAGGAAGGAAAGCACAACAGGAGGAAGTTAGGAAATAGTCGTCCCGCAACAGATACTGCTGCCTTTTCCTCAGCCGAGTCCCCCGTCGGTCCTTGTGCATTTAGCTCGCTCTGGCCCGGTCAGCTTGGGCTCCGACGAGGTTATTTCCGTGGTCGAAGAAGAAGGGCTCCAGCAAAAAACAGCTGCGCAGAAAAAGTAGGCAAGCCCAACGCTAACGGCAAGATGGTGGATCGTTTCGTGTCCGCCGGCATCCTCTCCTGCCTGGTCTGCGCTCTCGCTCCACTTTTGGGTGAGTGGTTACTCCGCTGCTCCGAGGAGACGCTCGCGAAGCGAAAACAGACACCTTATGGTCGCTCAATTAGGTTGTCCCGGAAAGAATCGAATGGCACGGTTCTTTCCCCCTGGGCTGAAATTGGGTCTTGGAGTGGCCGCCTCGTTTCTCATCGCGTCAAGGCTAGTCGGCTGTCAACACCTCCGCAATGACAGATGGGCTGAAGGCTAAAAAGTCAGACGCGATGCTCCTTGAAAAGTTTATTAAATGTAGTATGGATGCTGATGCTGTGAACATACCCTTAAAAATATATCAATTTGACTAACGTAAGGTACGTGGTTGTCGTGATTAAAAGTCAGGTTAAAGTTACGTGGCAACTGACGGAATAAGGTGAATCAAAATACCTATTATGAAGAATATTTTCTCATATGGAAGTTAAATATTAGCTTCTACCTATGTATTCAAATCCGAACTCTGAGGGTATTGGACAATCTCTGATGCGTTTTGCCTTAAAATAAATAAAACAAGCTTATAATTGCAATCTTTTCTAATTGGCCTTTTAACAGGTAAGAGTTGCTGTGGCATAAGAGCTTTTATGTTTTCGCTGGCAATGGGAGTCAAGAATACAAGACGGAGTGAAGCAGGTTTAAATGGCAACACTGATACCATGTCAGCACAAATATATACATATATGTTTATCTAGCTACTTGTGTTCTTTGAACAGAAACAGATAAGCAGGTTATTAATAAATAACATGTTGTCTATATCAATGGCACCGAACGAAAAAAAAAAACAGCACAAAGAAAGGCTGGTAACAAAGAAAAATGAATACGTCGAGTGTATAACGTTTGTGTGCTTGTTACTGAGTTGTTCACTTGAATAGAAAAATTAATTAATAACAATAAAACTAGAGTTTCTTAACGCCACCGAACTTGAATTCAATTCAATGGTCTAATACGTTTTGCTATAAACCCCGTATTAATTTGTGAAGCTTGTTGTGTTTCAGCCTGACTCAAATTTCTTAAATCTCATCCGCAAATCTCCTGAAAGTGGTTGCTGTGCCAACAAGGTTTCGGACCTTTGAATTGAAAACATGCTGGTTGCACGATGGCTGAATTTCAGCTATAGGCGTATAACATGTATGATGTATCGCAGCTCATCCGATTTACATAACATTGGAAAAATACATTTGCACAGAACTGAATCCTCAACTAGTTAAGAACCAAGAATCCCTATGTCATGAGACTACCGATGCGCAATTTGAATTTTTTGGTTGACATTTGGAATCAGTGATATCAAGAGTGCGAAATAAATATTAAGAAAAATAATTTATAAAAATATTGTTTGCTGGCCTGAAAACATTTGTTGATACTGCATATCTCATGGGCTGATCAACTAAACTATATACTTTCAGAATCCAAAACGACGACTAATGCCACTGGTATATGTATACTAAACGAATAGGTATGACGCAGAATCTGCTGTTTTTATGGAAGCTAATGAAATATGTCTGGCAACTTGACAACTCCGCAATACGTTGAGAGGACGTGATGATGGAGACCTCACGGCTCATCCCTCAGAACAACAACGTGGCTACTTTAGGTATTAGAGGTTGCATATATAAAGGACACACATAAAAAAGAAATCTAATTTTCTCCTGTCACATCTTGACATGACAATATCCGCTTTAAATGATCGACATTTGTATCAAGTTAGCACGTGTAATTATAGAACAGGGCGTGTACTGCGAAGAATACTAGGTTGGTGATAATTATCACCCCATCAAGTCTGCCGAAAACGCCCTTGTACAAAGTTCCGCAAACGTCGCTGGATATTCAAAAAACTGTTTCAAGAGCACCAAATGATGTGGAATAGATAGCGGATCTACTGATATTATTGCTGCAGTTAACATCTCATCGTTCCTTAAAAAAATAACATTGAGATATTTATATCCTGTACAAGGTATTGTTTCAACGCTATGCATTGTTGTCACTGCAAATCACCACCATTTGTGCAGATCCTCAACAAATATTTTCTCGTCTCACTGGGAGTTTTTTTTTTCCCTACGTGCTCAGCGTTTGAATCACACGAGTACTACCTGTTTGCAGTCTTAGAGTGAAAGCCAATTTATATTTATTATTTCTGTTTACTGTAGCAATCACAGTATACGCCAAGACGTTCACATTCCTAACAACACCGAGTTGACACCCTAACACTGCAGAAGGAATGCGTACCAAGCACTGCCTAACCGACGCAACGGGTACGGTCGTTACATCTGGAGCAACGGGCGCAATTTCCGATTAAACTCAGCCTCCGGGGTTCGACCGAAAACCGATAACCGCTGGTGGCATTCTTCGCCTCTATCTTCGCATCCGGAACAAAACAAAAATGTCGAAGCCTTGCGCGCCGCACAAAACGAACGTTGTCAAACGCTCGCCCGCTTCACGAGTTGCGAGGGCCGACCAGACGCCAATGCATCCACGACCGCAAGCGGGCGTTAGGCAGGGAGAACGCCGACTGACCCAGATACAATGGCACCAGTTTTCTCGCCTTTCAGCACTCCACCTAGAATTCGTGCGGAACAATCTGGAACCGCCCATGACGGGCGCGAAACAAGAAAGAAATAAAGGCAAAAGAAGAGAAAGACACGGAGAAGGCAAGGACAACGTCGAATACGCCAAAGAAGGCATACTCCGACCCCGGATCGCCTGAAGCACAGCCAAGGCTATCGGCCATTTTACGCTACTCCAGTCTACGCTCGATGAAAAGGGTCGTGCTCTATGCCCCGAATCATTTAAGTGCGCTTGCCCACGCATATAAAACAACAACCAATATTATCAGATGTTGAAATATCATATGCGTTCAACAACTTGAAGGTCAGGCAGTAAGATGAACGGATTTGCAAGGAGAGCTAGTTAGAGAATTTAGGCATCAAAGTACAATTGCGATTAATCATGAAAAAAGGCGGGAAAAAGGGCGACAGTCAGTTATATTTAGGTCCTGTGTGCTCTAGAGTACTTGAAACCTTCTGCAGAATCGCGTCCTTGTTCAATCATTTCAAAGTAGTCTTCATCTTATTTTTTTTTTCGTAATTTTCAGGGATATCCACAAAACACTGCAGCCAGACGTTCAACGAATATACTATTCACCCAGATTTTGAGTGCGTGACATAATTCCTTAAGCAAACAGCTGTCATTGTTTGCTTTCTATGTTAATTTTCTGCGGGTTTTTGCTAACAAGTTTGTGGATAAGGCGCATCGAGGTGAAAAATTTAGAAAAAGAAATAAGACAAAATAATGTCTTCCGTGTTGTGCCTGTCATGCTCATGGCCAGACGCAGCAAGCGCGGTGTGAAATCGAAACAAGAGACAAGAGAGAAGTCACGTAAATATCCCTTTTGAGCAGAAACCTTTGCGTCCGATCTTATAAACACAGATTAGGCTCTTGGCTTCTGGCCGTGTTTATGATGCAGAATCAAACGGAAGCTTAATGTGGGCCTTTTTATTTATTTATTCATAAAACGTTGAAGGTTCACTTCAGGACATTAACAAGGAGGGAAGGGGGGGGGGGGGTGGATTTGATCACATTACAGTATAGTCAACACTTAGAAGAGAGAAAAAAAAATTGTTTATGTCCATTCAGAGGACATAAACAAAATTTATGTCCTCTGAATGGCATATATGATGATTAATCCACGAACGGTATTATAACCGGTGTTATTCAAAGCGGAATCTCAAATCTCCTCGCTTTTATTTGGCATGCATCGGCCCGCGACGTATACGTTCCCTCGGGTTCACACAGGGCGTGCCTTCCGCCTCTTTCAGCAGTAAATATAAACTTGTTTTCTGAGGGACTCTTACGTGAAGTGTGCTACCAGTTAGAGGCATCAATTCCTGAAGGGTGCGGCTTTTTAGGATGGGTTACCCTGCGCGTTATCTGCGCAAAATACATTTTTTAAACTCGCGGAAATTCCAGTTCGAAGGCTGGTGTGACCTTCGCGTGACGAGAAAACCAGTGTATTAAGTGGGTGGTACGTCTTTAAGTGCTTTTTGTTTGCTCGCTCGACTGCACGTTTTGGAATCCGCCTGGCAAAATGCCTGCACACCTCATTCTCGGTCTTGGGTCTCAAGAAATCAGGATTAATGCGTTTCTGCACAGTCTATTAGCGATAAAGGTCGACACGTAGTTGTAACATGGTCATCAGGGTCTCCTTCTATTTAGTGCCTACAGCTGTTCTAAAGAAAATTTACATGAGCAGTCGTTTCGTGATGTCCTTCTCTCAAGCAGTCGGTGGCCGAATGGCCCAGCCCTGCCTCCGGCACATTTCGGAAGAATGGAAAGGAGAAAGAAAATGGCATTTTTGAGCTTTTGCTACCTATATTTACTGTGATATTCTAAAAAAAAAAGAATCCGACCTGTTACACAAGTTGGCACCATTATCAATTACTGTTGGCGGTAAACAGTTACAAGTATAACCGAGCTACCGGTAACGCCCTACTTTTTTCAGTAGCGTAGTAGTGAACTCTTTACGTCTTCGAAAGAGTACCGAATTTGTTATTACGTTACTTGTTCTGAGTAACACGTAACTTATATAGTTACGTTTCTCATCAAATCTTTTATTTTTTCATGTATCTAGGCACCAAATTATATAAAGTCTTCCACTCATCCCGCATTTCTTCCAACACTTTTTTTTTGCGGGGGGGGGGGGGGGGGGAGGGGGTAACTCCAACAAAACTGCTAAGAATATCTCTCCATGTAAGAGTCACCGAGCGCAGCTTTAACATGAGAACTTTCGCCGCAAATTGCTTGAATGCTACTATAGATATAACCCTAATGTGGTGAGTTCAACCAAGAAACTTTTATTGGCGTGACTGACTTGTTCAACAACTATTTACCTCATTGTTACACCAAAATTTCTATAAAAAAGAGGAAATTGTAGGCAACTTTCTCTAAGCTTATATTCCTAAGACCCGTCAAAATGTTGTAAATCTGTGATACACCTTTTTTATTATTTTTTTT